AAATAATGCTGACATTGGGGAATGGTAGCAAGAGAATAACCAGCAGTGCCACACAGTCATTATGGCATCCCAGTGAGTTTAACTGTGTCTCAAAAGCTCCCTGCATGTTTCAGAGGGGAGGCACTAAGCAAACTAAAGCCAGGTTATGGTTTTTAATCACTTAGCATGCAAGCACACCTGTGACTTTGTCTTGGCGAGCTGCTCTAGAGGCCTGGGCTCAGCATCACCACTGGCATCATCAGCTAGCCAACATTCCTTTTGTTTGTCCTGTTCCTGACCAACCTTCACCCCAGGCTCTCCTGACTTCTGCACCAACAGGAGTTCTGTTTAAATCCAAAGCACAAACCTATCCCCCTGGGATTCTGCCACAAAGAAGACTGTTGGTGATTTTTTTAAAAAATGCTCATTAAAAGCCATTCTGAAACGATTTTGTTCCCTGGATGAAAATGGCATCCCATTAGCCTACCAGACCGGTCCCTGAAATTTAGAAGAAAATTGTGCAGAAATACAGAGTTCATTTACTCAAGTAAGCACACACCTGCTTTGTGCATTACAGAATGGTTCTATTTTCATCTCAGCAGCTGTCCCTGGGTCTGAGTTACATAAATGAATAATGCATTTAATATGTTATTAAATGGGGCTGCTACCTCCATAATAACAAGGCAACTTATGATTATGTTGGACCTAAGCTCTGGATATTACTGGGATGCATCTAGTTGGTAAAGCATTCTTCAATCTGCCAAGAAGAAAAGTGCTCTGTAATGGCAAGGGAGTCTTTGTACAATTACTGAAAAGGAAACATTCTGCAAATGTGCCTTTGATATTACCTACAGCTCATCAGTAGATAGTGTCTTATTACTTCAGCAACCCTGATTTCAATTATTCTCTTCTCTCCTATCTTGATAGGCCTCTGTCACCTTTTCCTTTTTACCCCTACCCTCTTTGATTTTCCTTCTCTTCTGCCTGCCTGTCTTAAAGATGAAGGCCATAGCTTTTCTTCGTGAGAGTAAAACTAGAAAAAGACATGGGAAGTCTGTATATTCTATGAGTTTACCATGTAGAATTTCTATCTTATGATATTTGGAGAGAGGATACAGATGTTTATGGCTATTCAATGTATATTAAGGTTAGCTTGTTGGATCTCCATTCTGTCTACCATTTAGAGTCACTTGGGGCACTTTTACAATATATAGATCCACCCCCAGGGATTGAGTTGAGAATTCTGGGCATCAATTTTTTTTTTTTTTTAACTTCCCTTGAATGATTCCAATGTGTAGTCAAAATTAAGGACTTGACTGCTCACCAGAAGGCTGGCGGTTCAAACCCACCAGCCACTCCTCGGAAGGAAGGTTGGGCAATCCTACTTCCATAGTAATACTGCCTTGGAAACCCAAGGAGGGGTCGCTATGAGTCGGGGCCGACTCAATGGCAAACAACAACAACTACAACAGCTCTACTGATTGGGAGCTGTGGTGGCATAGACATTTGACTGCTAACCAGAAGGCTGGCAGCTCAAACCCACCAGCCACTCCTCAAAAGGAAGACTGGGCAATCGACTGTAGTGATACTGCCTCAGAAACCCAACGAAGGGTTGCTATGAGTTGGATCTGACTTGACAACAGGGAGTTTGTTTTTTGCTTTGGCTTTAGTGGTTGAAAGTTATTTTGTAGAATTGAATTGCCTGAGTTTAAATTTAAGTTCTCATTTACTGTATGAACTTCAGCAATTGACACAAATTCTCTCTAATTTTTAGGCTCTTTATCTGTAAAATAAAGATTATTATAGATTGTTTTTATGAAGTTTTGGGGAGATTTAAATGAGATAATAATACCTGCAAAAAGGTTAAACACAATGCCGGTCACACTGTAAGAACATAATAAAATATAAGTTATTTAAAAAAAAAAAAAAGTATTTAAAGTAACTTGCTATGGTGGCCAAGATGGTGGACTAGTCAGATATACTATGCAGACCCTCTGCAACAAAAGCCTGAAAAACCAAGCAAAATGGATACCATGACAATCCTGGAACTCAGAGCTTCAAACAAAAGGATAAAGAAGTAGATCAAATACCAATTAGAGGGAAAGACTAAACAAAAATAGC